TCACACTGCAGGCCTACTTGTTGTTCCTAGAGTATTTAAAAGTAGAATGGGAGGGAGAGCCTTCAGTTTTCAGGCCCCTCTACTATGGAACCAGCTTCCAGGCTGGATTCAGGAGACAGACACTATCTCTACTTTTAAGATTAGGCTTCAAATGTTCTGTTTGGTAGAGCATATAGTTATAGGCTGGACCACGTGACCCTGAATCCTTCCTTAGTTATGTTGCTGTGATTTGATGATATATAAATAAAACTGAATTGAAATCTTGTAGGTCCCACAGTCTGAGAAACAGTGACACAGCTGATCACTGTGATTTATTATAAAATAATGCAAACAACTCTTCAAAGGTGTTTATTTAGTTTCACTGCGGGATTAAATCTTTGTGCGAGTGTAAAGCTGAGCTCAGTGAAGTCAAAGAGAAGGCTCCCTCCAGTCTCTATCAGTGTTTCTGTGATACGTTCATAAACTCATAAACACTAAACTGCAGCTGCTGGTCGTGAACTCGGCTGACTTCATGTTTCCAGGATTTACACATATGTCTTCAACACTGTAGGATTTTCATACAGGTAGTCTCATTAAGCTGATTACAAGGCACGTGTATAAAATGAACCCCGTGTGCTGACACAGTCTGACCAGAGGGGGGCGCCTGCACACTGCTGATTTTGTGTTTCAGTCTCTTTCAGCAGGTTGAAGCATCTTCCTGATCATCATCATAACACAACACCATAATTTAATCTGTCCAGCTGCTCCAGATTACTTTATTATTTCTCTCCAACAATTCTCTTATCAAAAATACAAAATCAATAAACTTATAAACAGAGTCAATCTGAGGTCTGTCAAGTTAAATTTTTTATTTGCATAAATGCATCAAGCCTGAAATATTATTATTAATTATTAGTAGTTTATTGTAATCAATAACACATTTTCTCAAACATTCAAAGATTTAAAAACAAAATCGTTTGTTGATTTAAAGGATTTTCAAAACATTATTTAATTACTGTTATTAGCAGCAGTATTATGTCTTTGTACTGTGGTAACACTGGGTGAACTTAAAAGGACTCAAAGTAATCTATTACATCTAAACTAAAGTAACCTGAATCAAGCAGTGCTTCATATTTTCCATGTTTTGTGTTAATGATCAGCTGTGATGTCATCACTCCATCCGGTTCTATACAGGAGCAGAGGTTTGAAGTTTAGGAAAATGGAAGCAATAAAACAGATTTTTTTTACTTTATTAGTTTTTTATTCTTATTTATCACAGAAGACCTGCTAGATTTAATTAATTTATTAATTAAAAACTAATGAAGCCTAATTTTTCCTTAGTTGCAGGCTGCAGTGTAGCCTGAGAGGTCAAATCTAGGGCTGGGTGTGACATCACTTCCTGTTACTGTTTTCTGTGACTCATCTGTTTCTGGCTATGTCACATTTACATGTTAGAGGAACAAATAGGAAAATCTGCCCCACATCTGCCATAGGGAGGGGTTTATTTTGTTTCAACGACAACAACAGGTATTCCAAAAAAAAAAAGGAGAAAGATAATATATTAATAATATATTATAAATGATCATATTTTCACCTCAGTAATTATATTAGAGGTGAACATCATTATCATTGATTATTAATTGTTTGTGGATGATGAAGCGAATAAATAGAAAATCAGCAGTAAATGAGTGTTAAAAAAACGTCTTTTCATGATCCCCCAGAAGGACCTGCTGAACTTTTTTATGCTGCAGCTTTTCAAATTTCCAATATTTCCTTCAAAATAAAAGCCTGAAATGAGTTCCAAACCCAGGGCTCGAGTCCCGTAAAGGGTCACAAGGAAATTTTGAGCGGTCATGAGAAAGTTTGAAGAGATTAAATTAAAGCTGAGAACTTAAGACAGGAAATGACTCAGATCTTTGTGACTAACCGTCCAGATGTTTACAGAGGCTGAGCTCATGTTTGACCTGCAGGGTTTTTATCTCAGATTTTTTTTAGTTTAGAGCTGAAACACAAACACGTTCCTCTTGGGTCTGATCCACAGCCCGACGGTCGAAGCTGCCACTCTCAGAATTTATTTGTTCGTTCATTTCATGCATGAATTACACTGTAAAAAAAAAGAAA